GGTTCTGAGGGGGGTGGGGTGACACGGGAAGTCCCTGAGAGAGGAGCAAGCTAAGAGGAAGGAGCTGAGTACTATTAAAGACAGAGAGTAATGGCAGGTGACTATGTAATTAGTGCCAAGCATTCACTACCCAGGGCAGAGGATGGACTTTGCTTTCAAAGGTTCCTTCAGCGCTTAGCTTAACAAAAATGCCCTGCCCAGAATTCCCAACTTTATACATGAATGAATGCAACCCTCGCACCTTTACACTAAGAAGTGTCCCTTGCGTGGCTAAGGGTATATTCAACAGGAAGGCGAGTGATCTTGTGTCTGACGGGGGCCCTGTTCGTGCCCACCAGGGCTTCTGGGCTCCCACCAGCTGTGGGGATGCAAGAGAGGGACGAGGGACGGAGCCAAGGCAGGGGGAGAGGGCTGGCAGATGGGGGGAGGCGAGGAAGGGGGCTGCACTGAGAAGAGAGGAGGAAGCGGAGGAATCGCGATGGAGCCTTCCAGGAGCAGGCTGGGACCCCAGGTTCGCCCCAATGCTTTCTCAGGTGCCACACTTGTGGGAGTCCTGAGCGGAAACCAGCAGATGGGGAAACTGAAGAAAAGTAAACAGCGGGAGAAGAGGAATCTGTAATGCTGCAAATTCCTGGCCTAATCAGTCTGGGAGGGGAAGAGAGGAATTTCAATTACGGTGCTGCTCCCATATCGCCCCCCAAGCACACGCTGCCCAGCTGCACCCGGCACTTGGAGCTCCTTAGACAACTGAGACTGAAAGTACTTTTAAAATCTAATTTACTCAGTCCCTTTGTTTGCTTTGTACGCGTCCCTCATTTCAGACAATGTAAGAACATTCTTTACCTCCTCCTCCTGTTTGTGTGTGTGTGTGTTTTTAGAGCTGCAATGCTTGGGTTCTCAGCTGGGAGGGGAAATCCATACTGATTTTATTTTTTAGCAATTACCTCTGTAGCTTAAAGATACAGAGGGTTTTTGTTTTTGTTTTGTTTTGCTTTTTTGCTTTTGTTCCTGTGACTGGAGAGAACAGTGGCCTCCGGGGTCAGGCACCCTGGGAAGTACTGCCCACGGCTGCTGAGGCTCCGCGGGACGTTGCCAGTGGGTGCTGGTCAGCTGTGGTCCTCTCTCAGGTCCTCTTCAGCATTTATGGTTGAAATTCGATACTTAGCATTTACATACATATTGCCAGGTCGAACTCACAGGTTACTGACTGTGTACCAGCCTCTTGCCCTGACTGATCTGCAGCTCCCTGAGGCAGGGGTGATGCTAAGAACAGCCAACACGTGCGGGCTCTTGCTCTGAGCAGGCCCAGCACCGCGTGCAGATGCTTCACACAGCTGCTCACTAACTCCTCACAGTGACCCTCAGCAAGGCACCACGTCCTGCAGATGAGGAAACCGAGGCTCATAACAGTAAGGTAACTTGTCCAAGGTCACTCAGCCAGTAAGTGCTGGTGCCAGGAAAAGAAATCAGTTTTGGAAATTGCTAAACTTCTTGTAGTGTATTATATCATACATTAAGAAGTTCCTTAACTATTTATTATCTATACGAATAAAAGGGTAATATGCTAATTAGACCAGAAGACCTTCCAGACAAAGCCATGGTGGCGGGGCCGAGGCAGAGGCGGTTAGGGGCAGTAGGTAGCGAGCAGGCTGGCAGGGGGCGCAGTTGGGGATGAGCAGAGGCCAGTGGGGGGGCAGTTGGGGGCAAGCAGGCCAGTGGGGGGGGAGCAGTTGGGGGCAAGCAGGCCAGCAAGGGGGGCAGTTTGGGGCGAGCAGGCTGGATTGGGCCTAAACCAGCAGTCGGACATCCCCCGAGGGGTCCCAGATTGGAGAGGGTGCAGCCCAGGCTGAGGGACACACACCCCCATGCATGAATTTCATGCACCGGGCCACTAGTATATATACATCTTTCTCCCTCTCTCCCTCCCTCCTTGCTTCCCTTCCTTCCTTCTTTTCTCCCTCCCTCCCTCCCTTCCTTCCTTCCTATCTTTTGGCAGTGAGAAAGCTTGCTTATCTGTAAAACAGGAGTTGTGATACTTTCTGTCCTCCAGCACAGGGTGTTGGCAGGGTCCGATGTGATAAAAGATATGAAGGAACAGCACAAGCACGTGAGGAATGCTGGGTGGCTCCCTCTGCCATTATGAGCTCCAGGTAACACAAGTCCATGTTTATGGCTGGTAACCAGAAACCTCCTCTTCTCCACTGAAGGAAGCTACCCTCTTCAATTGTCACAGATAGTAACTTCACAGCAGATGCATGTTCGTTTATTTGACAGATGTTAGCTGGGGTCTAAGTAAATCAGCTGCTATGACTGATACAAGAAAACAAAGCATGACCCCAGCCTCTTCCTGAGGGACTTAAGGTCTCATGTGGAGGACAAAACAAACTTAATAGCTGGTGTGCTGTGAAGACAATGGCATCTGAACCAAGGAGAGCGGGTCTGGAAGCAGCCTCGCCAGTTCAAGATGGCACCTTGGGAAAGTGATTTAAATGTGTCCATCTCAGTTTCCTTGTATAAAATGAAGAAGACAGGCCTTTACAAGGTCATCTGTTGTGTGATATTTTTATGGAAAAGCACTCACTAGTTGTAAAGTGCCAAGACTGTAGATACCACAGTGGGTGAAATACCAAATGATGACACCAGGCATCAGGGAGAAGAGGTGCTGGGGGGTTTGGAGGAGGTTGAGTGACAGATGTGTCTGAGAGCAGAGGGGTGGCTTCCCAGGGGAGGGCCAAGCTGCAGAGGCACTGGGACAATCTGTCCTTTCAGGAAGGTGGGGACAGCCTCTGGGAGCATCTGCCAGGTGCTGGGGGCTGGAGAGAACAGGGCAGCAGGAGGCCGTCCAACCTGACAGCGACTGGAAGGTCAGAGAGAAGCGGGGAGAGAATGTTGGGAAGAACCAAGGAAAAGACAAAGGCAAAGGAAGGCTGCAGAGGAGTTATTCCACAGGCGCTGGGAGGTGTCAGAGGGGTCCTGGGCAGGGGGAGCCATGTGATTACAGCATCATTTTAGAGAGAATAACCTTAATATAATATAAGGAGAGAGAGAGAGAGAGAGAGAGAGAGAGAGAGAGAGAGAGAGAGACCGAGACCTGGAAGGATCTAGATTCTAGAAGAAGGAAGGCCAGTTTGAAGAGCAAACAATGCAGCTGGCAGCAGTGGGACCTGAACCAGGCGTGGGCTGTGAGAATGAACGAGAGCTTGGAGATAAGAGACAGCCCAGTAAGAGAGTGCCCTGGCCTAGTCACTGACGGATAATGAAGGTGGCAAGAACGGGGAGCTGGAAATGCTTCAGCCTAGAAAACGGGAGAACAAAGGAATTCAGGAGGGGAGCCCAACTCAAAGGAAACGGACAGATATCATTCTCTACATAAAGAGTTTGAAGTGATCATTGAAAATGCAGGTGACATAACTAGAAGATAGCAGGTTCTGGGTATAGGCTAATCTGCATAAAGGGGACTGAGGGAAGATGCTACGCTCACAGGGAAGAAAGTCGAGGCATAAAGCATTGAGGGGGTGAGCTCCCAGCGATACCACACTTAAAGGACAGGTGGTAGAGAGGAAATAGAAAACATGATTGAAGAGTGTGAGTTAATACAAAATGACAGTGAATAAACTATAATTGAAAAAAAAAATAATGTGTCTCCTGATAGCAAACAATGAGAGTTTGAAGTGATCATTGAAAATGCAGGTGACATAACTAGAAGATAGCAGGTTCTGGGTATAGGCTAATCTGCATAAAGGGGACTGAGCAAAGATGCTACGCTCACAGGGAAGAAAGTCGAGGCATACGATAAAGCATTCAGGGGGTGAGCTCCCAGCGATGCCTCACTTAAAGGACAGGTGGTAGAGAGGAAATAGAAAACAAGATTGAAGAGTGTGAGTTAATACAAAATAACAGTGAATAAACTATAATTGAAAAAAAAATAATGTGTCTCCTGATAGCAAACAATACCTGGTATTTTTATGAGGCATTTAAAAAGGAACACTAGTAACGTTCCATCCTGCGTGTGTCACCCAGAGCTCTCACTCTAAGGAACCCTAAGGATGGGATGGAGCAGGGGAAATGGGCTGGATCCCAACTCCCTGGAGACTCAGACTCTGGCCCCTGAAGCCCTGCTGGTCCCCCAGGATGGGGGCTCTGGAACTATGGGAATGGCTGACTCCTGGGTTTTAAGATGCTGTGCCCATCTCTGTGCCAGGCATTCTCAACTGGGTACCCTATGCCCATTCCCTCCTGCTTCCTTGCTAATTGGACTCTCCTAATCTGGGCATCGAAGCGCTCAGTCCCGAGCGAGACACTGGCATTTGCAGCCTCTTGTCACCAGGGAACTGGCCGAGAAGGCTGCCGGGAGCTATGGGAAGGCTTTTCCCTCCGTCATGGAAGGTTCTCTGTTCCTGCAGCTAAACACGTTCCTCATTAACATAGCACCTTTTACCTTTTCAGATCCACAGTGGTGACATTGAACACGACTCCTTTCAGCCAGAGGATCATAAAGAGGCGCTGAGAGAAGGGGCAGTTGCCGATGCTTTCCCCATCGATCCCAGCCTAGGAAAAAGAGAGCAGAGACCTGAGTTGAACATGCATATTAGCAAGAAGGAATAGAGGATCGTAACTCCCAAACAATGGTCTGAAGAGAACGGACTAAACCCTGCCCCAGCCTAAGCCCTGAAGGTATCGCCCTTGTCTTCCCAGTGTGTCTGCGAGGTAGTGGGTCGCATAGGGTAAGGGATGGACAGAATGTTGAGTCTCCAGTGTGGCGGTTATGCAGAGTCGAGGCTTTCTGAATCCACAGATCCCTAGATTCCGAGGGGAAAAGAGAACTTCAATATCACATCGTCTAACACCAATGACATTGGGCCACCAACTGCTGCGCCCCAAGTAATCATCAAGTCTGTGCTTGACTGTCCCCCCTAAACAGGAACTTCTCAGAGCAGTCCATTCCGAGGACAGTTCTAACAATTACAAATGCTTTTCTTTGGCTCTACCTAACCTCAGTGTGCTCCTCTGTACTTCACCCTCTCTGACCCTTTGGTCCTGGCTCCATGAGGGTGCCGTGAGGACAAACACCTCAGACTTCGACCCTATCTCCCTATATCTCACTCATCAGCAGACTCAAGACTTTAATCAATACACTTAGTTCTGACTAGTACTGGACCTGCAGTGTCAATAAACCATTCATTTTAAAGTATCCTTTCACCGAACCAATACATATTGACAATCGATTATGTGCAAGGCACTGGAGGAAACTGTACAGGGGATTCAAAGGAATCATGGCCTTGTGGGCTGGGCGGGGGATAGACAGGAACACATATATGACAATAGCAGGCAGCATTACTGGGCGCTTGCGTGCTCTGCTCATCACACTTCCCCTTCCAGGAACCCTCCTCAAAACAGCATGTCTTATGTTTTTGCTTTTGTAATGTCTGAAAGGCAAGTCTATCTTTACTTCTGAGTGGGTTGCAGGGACAAATATTTTATAAGAATTCATTCTCAGCAAACACGCAGAAAGGTTGGAGAATTGATCTCTATGGAATTTATTTCCCCAGAGGGGTTTATTGTCCCCAGACATGGTACGTAGAGGGAGAGGTCACCCACTCGCCCTGGTTTGCTGCTGGCTCCCCTGGACACCATGGCCTCATCTGGTGGCCTAGGCACCCGGCTCCTCTGACAGGGAGGCCCCGAGAGGGGAAGCCCCCAGACCTACTAGCAAAGCTGCAAACAATCCAATCAACATCCTGAAAGAGGGACTTACTAAGATAATTTTTTTAAGGGAGTAAAGCAATGCGTTCTCAAAGCTCAACACATTATTTCCCCCCTGAAGTTTGCTTTGCTGTGGCCTTGGTATGGAGGAGTGAGGCCTTGCATACCGAGAGCCTAATTGTGTGCCTTTTTCTGCCTTGCAAATCGCTCCCAGCAGAGGTTTGGGTTTATAATGGAATACTGGCGCCTTTGCCGGTGTTGGTTGTAGGTAATTGCTATGAAATTACAGTTATTTTACCTCTCTCTTAACTACACCGAGAGCCCCATCCCTATTCAGTTCTCACTTTTCCCTGGTGCTGGAAACAGACCCACCCCTGCATAGTCGAGATGCCCTGGGCTCTGTTATATAAAATCTGAAAGATGGGAGGGCACTGGTGTGCCTGCTGGCAGAGCTAATGTTACCGATAAAGCTACTCACAGACAGGCAGACAGGCAACTATTACACTAACAATAGCTTGGAGCTAACTTGAGTTTGTGATGTCAGAGTCCTTGCTCAGCAGGTACCTGGTGGTCCTTTAAGACATCACAACAAAGGCACTTTCCCCAGGGTTGGTTCCAATGTAAGGAACAATTGAAGAATTAAAAAACAAAACAACAAAAGACACATTTACAAACTAGCCTCTTTTTTACTGCTGGTGATGAGGGGGTGATAAGGGAATTGAAGGAGGAACTAGTAAAATACTAGAATTTGTATTAGCTGGACAAAAATTACATAATAATGATAGTAATAATAACTCATTTCTATATTGCCAGGCATTGTTCTAAGTGGTTTACATCTTTTGCTAATTCATGAGAAGTGGGATATTATCACCCTTTTACAAATGTGGAAACTGAAGCACAGAGAGGGCCATTCATATACCTGCTGGCCATTTTGTCTTCTTTGGAGAAATGTCTGTTCAAGTCCTTAGCCCATTTTTAAGAGTTATTTTTGGGTTTTTTCATTTTGTTTTTTAATCCTCACCTGAGTATATATTTTTATTAGAGGCCTGGTGCACGAAATTTTTGCACTGGGTGGGAGGTGGGGGAGTGTTCCCTCAGCCCAGCCTGCACCCTCTCGCAGTCCAGGAGCCCCTGGGGGATGTCCGACTGACAGCTTAGGCCGGCTCAGTCGGACATCCTTAGCACTACCCCAGAGGTGGGAGAGGCTCCCACCACTGCCGCTGCGCTCGCCAGCCATGAGCCCAGCTCAGAGCTTCTGGCTGAGCAGCACTCCCCCTGTGGGAGGGCACTGACCACCAGGGGGCAGCTCCTGCATTGAGTGTCTGTCCCCTGGTGGTCAATGGGCATCATAGTGACCAGTCATTCCACCGTTAGGTCAATTTGCATATTAGGGTTTTATTATATAGGATTGGTTTTTTGAGAGAGAGAAACATCAATGTGAGAGAGAAACATCTATTGGTTGCCTCCTGTACTCCCCCTGACTAGGGATTGAACCCGAAACCTAGGTATGTGCCCTGACCTGACTGGAAATCAATTCCACCACGTTTTGATGCAGAGGATGACACTCCAATCATCTGAGCCACCCAGCAAAGGCCCCCTTTTTTTACTATTGAGTTGTCCAGCTTTTTCTTTTCCTCCTTCACAAATTCATCAGTCCTGGGGCCTGAATGAACCATTTGTTAAATCCACGGGTTAAATGGGGTGAGCTTGTGGCAACCATTTAAAACATCAACCAAGAAGAATGGGGTGGGGCTCCATGGGGTCCCAGGCCCTGAAAAGGGTGAGGGAAAATCCAAGTGGACTTTGGTCCAAACAGGCTCTGAGCACAGGGGCTGGAGGCAGGAACAAAGCAGTGTTGTAGGTTGAATAATGTCCCCCTCCAAACTCATGTCCACCCAGAACCTGTGAGTGTGACCGTATTTGGAAATAGGGTCTTTGCAGGTGAAATCAAGTTAAAATGAAGTCACACTGAGTTAGGGTGGGCCCTAAATATAACTGGTGTCCTTATGAGAAGACAGAGACAGAGACTGGAGTGATGCTTCTACAGACCAAGGAACCCCAAGGATTGCCAGAAAGTGCAGAAGTTAAGAGACAAGATTCTTCCTGGAGAGGTTGGAGAAAGCATGGCCCTGGTGACACCTGATTTCAAACTTCCAGGCTTCAGAATGCCGAGAGACTACATTTCTGTTGTTATAAGCCACCCAGTTTATGGTCAGTGGTTATGGCAGGCACAGGAAACTCATGCAAGCAGAAGAGCGTGGGAAGCAGAATGGTGCACAGCTAATGGCAAAGTTCTCAAGTTCACAATTCTGCTTTGCCATGGGCCTAGTGGGCATACTCACAATTGCAAGCCAGCTATAACCCCAAAGTAATGCCTATAACCTAGGAAGTTAAATAAAACATGGGCCATGTTTTATTTACTTTGACTTCAGCAGTAATACAGTAATGTATTGACTGTCAGTTACACTATGTTATACTATATTATTTATAATAATAAAAAGGTAATATGCTAATTAGACCAGACATCCTTCCGGTTGAACAGTCGAAGGGTCACTTAGGCTTTTATATCCTATAAAATAAAAGAGTAATATATAAATTGACCCTAACAGTGGAATGACCAGAATTACCGCTCAACCAGTCACTATGAAGAGCACTGACCAACTCTCAGTCCCTTTCCCCGGCCGGCAGGCTCCAATAGCCCAATAACAAACAGGGAACCAGGGATGGGTGGTGGGGGACGTGGGTGGCACCAGGCCAAGGCCTCCGCCCTGCCAGTCACTCCACACACAGAGGGAAACCCGTGATGGGGGCAAGGCTGGCAAGTGGGCAGGAACGGCTGACCTCTCGGTCCCTTCCCCTGGTCGTCAGGCTCCGATCACCCGATGGCGAACGGGAAACCAGGGTGGGTGGCGGCAGGGGGCAGGGCCGGCTGCCGGCAGCCGGGGAAGATGGCCCTGATCACAGGCCAGGCCTAGGGACCGTACCCATGCATGAATTTCGTGTGCCAGGCCTCTAGTATATAGATAATATCACGTGATAATAATAGCATAATATCATTACACTATATGTTATATTCTGGGAAAGTCATTATATGTCTTTCATGTTGTTTTTCCTGCTATACAATGAGCTTGTCTACCCCCAAAACATGGGCCATGTCTTATTTACTTTGACTTCAGCAGCAACAAGCTGTCAGAGACTTAGTTGATACTCAGTGCCTATTAGAGTGGATGCATGTTGAGGGGAGGGTGACATCGCTCCCTCTTTATGGCCTGACTGTCTCAAAATGCTGACGTGGGCACTCTGAAGAGTGTCCTGAGAAACAAGCAGGAGACCATTGCTTTATACCCACCCCTGTCTCCAATTCACTGTGTGACCCTGACTAGGCCAGTCGCCTCCTCTTTGGCCTCAGTCATTGCACTCATAACTTCCTGCAATTTTGTGAATTCAAGTGGCTAATGGAGATTTATTTAGACAGCAGTTCTCAAACATTTTGGTCTCAGAATCCTTATGTGCCTTTAAAGATTGTTGAGGATTCCAAAGATCTTTTGTTCATGTTGGTCATAGCTATCAATATCCATTATCCTATTTAATAAAAGAGTAACATGCAAATTAACCATCACTCCGCAACAAAGATGCAGCACCCATAGCAGCTGGGGCAGGACGCTGGCGGCGTCACCCTGGCAAAGTGAGCCCAGCAAGCATTGCCTCGGTGACCCGCAAGCAGGCAAGCGCCACCAGCAGGCAGCGCCCAGCAGGGCCTGCTCGTGGGTCACCACGGTGATCCGTGAGCAGGCAAGCATGACCCACAGGCAGCACCCTGCCCTGGCCGCAGCTCAAGGGAGAGA